CTAGTTTAGGTTTAGAGAGAATCGAAAAACCAAGCCGACGACGGAGACTGTTGCCGGAAGCAGAAGGGACGTCGGAGAACGCAACCGAAAGGACTGCCGAAGAACACAGATTGACGAAAACGTTGACAGAGACGGTTCGGCTTGGAGGAAGAAAAAAGACGGGACATGGGTTTAGGGTTAGCTATTTGTGTTTTTAAATTACTTATAATTCCCTAAATACCATTAACAACCAATTAACTAATAACTCCTTCCTAACTACCAAAATTTGCAACAGCCAATCACAACGCTTTAAGATTCTCCTTAAAGAAGTGGGTTTAAGGACCTGAACTTAGACCGGGCCAGAATTCCCCAAATTTGCAGACTTCCCAAATTTGTCGAGCCCATTGGAGTCAGTCTTAGTCCGCCTCAGCGCTGTTCCCGCGCAGTGTGCGCTTTCTCCCCAAAGACTGTTTTGGAGGCGCCGAGAAGGGCCGCCATGGCTGTGTTACCAGTTTTCTATGAATGTCGCCGTTCAGTTGTAGCGAAATTGCTCTTTCTGTGGCATTCCTGCAGCATTCGTCAATTCGAGCAGATTCACTGTTCCGTCATCACTTCCGGCCAATCGCACCACAATGCTTTCCTCCTAACCGAGCTCTGTTCCTCTCTGTTTATGCGCGGCCACCCCGACCATCATCGTCTCCGGAACTACCAATCCGTCGTCCTCCACTTCTCCGTCCACCCACCTACCATTAAACTATGGAACCTTTTCATCAGAGACTTCTCCAAGAGTTCCCAACCTTCCGCAGCTCTTCTTCTTTACTCCAGAATGCGCCGCAACTGTCTCCAACCAGACATGCACACCTTCCCTTTGCTCCTCAAGTCGTTTTCCAAGCTGAGCGACCAGGACCCCTTGCTGTTTTTCGCCGACATTATCAAGCATGGTCTTGATCTCGACAGTTTCGTCAGGAACTCTTTGATTTCTGCTCTCGCAAACTCTGGGTCCCCGAGGCTTGCCCGCCAGGTGTTCGATGAGAATCCACAGGGGGACGTCATTGCTTGGACTGCGATGATTGATGGGTATGTGAGAAACGGAAGTCCTGCGGAAGGACTCGAGTGTTTCCTGCTGATGAGATCAATGGGAGTAAAAGCCGATGAAGTAACAGTGGTAAGTGCTCTTTCTGCAGCTGGATCACTGTGTTATGCTTGGATTGGGAAATGGCTTCATGGTTTCTACGTAGAATCAGGCAGAGTCAGATGGGATGTTTTCGTTGGGAGTGCTCTCGTAGACATGTACATGAAATGTGGGCATAGTGACGATGCCCGTCAAGTATTTGATGAAATGCCAACGCGAAATGTGGTCTCGTGGAGCTGCTTAGTTGCTGGTTATGTTCAACTCGGTAGATGCAAGGAAGCGTTGCTGGTCTTTCAAGACATGCTAATAGATAACCTTAGACCCCACTCAAAAACTCTAACTAGTGTGCTCACTGCTTGTGCTCAACTAGGCGCTTTGGACCAAGGAAAATGGGTGCATGCTTATATCGATAGAAACTTGATAGAATTGAACTCGATCCTAGGGACGGCCTTGATCGACATGTATGTGAAGTGCGGCTGCATCAATGAGGCTTGTTTTGTTTTTGATAAGTTGCCGAGCAAAGATCTCTATACTTGGACTGCCATGATCAGTGGTTTGGCAATGAATGGGGATGCATTAGGGTCGTTGAGTTTCTTCTCCCGGATGATGTGCAGTGGGGTTAAGCCAAACAAAGTCACTTTCCTTGGTGCCCTTAGTGCCTGTTCTCACGGGGGACTAGTAGAAGAAGGACGTAAATTGTTCGACGAAATGAGGGATAAATACCATCTGGATCCTGACGTGGATCACTACGGCTGCATGGTTGACTTGCTAGGCCGGGCTGGGTACTTGGAAGAGGCAGTCAAGTTGATCGAGGAGATGCCAATGGAGCCATCTCCAAGTATTTGGGGAGCTCTCCTCGGGGCGTGTGTGATTCACAAGAACATGGAGCTAGGGGAATACATTGGTAACCAGCTGGTGAATCTTCAACCAGACCATAGCGGATGGTACTCTCTCCTGGCAAATGTACACTTGGAACACCGGAAGTGGGATAAAGCCGCCAGCGTCCGGAAGTCTATGAAAATGAAAGGGATTGATAAAATCCCTGGAGTTAGCTGGATAGAAGTGAATGGCTTGATTCGTGATTTTGTCACCTCCGAATCTCTTTCAGATTGGGAATTGTGTGAGATGATGGATACTGTTTGGAGGCACATTGTATCCTCCATATATGATCACAAAGTTGATAATATTAATATCAGTGCTGGTGACTAGGGCTGAAAATTTGCCTGTCCCGTCCCTGTCCCGTCCCTGACCCTGTCTGTCCCGTCCCTAAAGGGACAGCTTGCATAATCGACCCGTCCCGTCCCTGTTCTCTTCTTGACCCTGTCTGACCCTTTAGGGTCGGGACGGGTCGGGACGGGACGGGTCAGCGGGTCGACCCTCTCCGACACAAAATTAAATCAATTACGAAATTAATTTCAAAAAATAATTTTTTCACGAATTTCAGTTCAGATAATTATTTATTCATCAAAATAATTCCAAAAATTTAATTAATCACCAAAATAATTCCAAAAATTTAATTAATCACCAACATAATTCCAAAATATTAATCAATTGTCAAAATAATTCCAGAAAATTATTTATTTACCCAATTTATTCTAGAAAATCATTTATTTATCAAATTAATTCCAGAAAATTAATTAATTAAATAATTTATTTATGAAATTATTTCAGAAAATTAATCAATTACGAAATTAATTTCAAAAAATCATTTTATTTACGAATCTCTGTTCATAAAATTATCTATTCATCAAATTAATTCCAAAAAATTAATTAACCACCAAAATATTCCAAAAATTTAATCAATCACCAACATATTTCCAAAATATTAATCAATTGTCAAAATAATTCCAGAAAATTATTTATTTACCCAATTAATTCCAGAAAATTAATCAATTGCCAAAATAATTTCAGAAAATTATTTATTTACCAAATTATTTACCAAACTCCCATAATATATGTGCTTGATGAAAGGATGAAATGACATCAATTATTAAATAATCATCAATGACATCATTGTTCGATAATAATCAAGTACATCATACTCATGATCACACAATACATCATTGTTCGATAATAATCAAGTACATCATACTCCTTGAGAAGGTGCATTGGTGGAGACCTCCATGGGATTACTGCTAGCTTCATCCATATCCTGCCATTTTAATGAATCAAATATTAATATCCTATCATTTGTTTAATTCTTGCCCTCTCCAAGACTTTGCTAGCTATTCTAAGTATAAATACAGTACAGATGCAAGCTGCTCTTTGGTCAACTTCAAAGCATAAATAGTCATTAAAATGCAACTGATCCCTCCTTTATCAACTTCAACATCAAAGCATTATTTATAAACAGAAGGCACTACTGCTCTGGCATGATGCATTATTTATAAACAGTGTCATCTCCTCTCTTTCATTTTCTGTGTTGTGTAAGTCAAGAGATAGATTCTCTTGACAGAGGAAAAGGAAAAGGTGAGTTAATGTAGCTTCCACCTCTGATTTTAACAAAGTAGATCATGTTTCATTTATCAGCTTCCCTAACCCCGAAACCATAAAGCCTAGGATTCCAAGATTGGCCGAGAAATCTATCATTCAGCCTTCTAGAGTGCGCATAAATCTGTTTTCACCTTGCCTAAAATCACAGTGGAAAAGGTTGAAGAACAAATGGAAGCGATCAAGAGCTGTTTCAGAGACAAGGATGCAAAGGTGGAGGAGATGAAGCAGCGAGTTGGAGCTCTGGAGAACTCTGTTGCAGAAGCAGAGAAGAAGAAGAGCTTCTGGGCTATGGTTTCATCTGTGACTATAGTGGTGGCTGCGGCTTCACTTGCCTTTGCTGTTAAAGTGCGTTAGAAGTGGGCAGCAGAAGCCACAACTCTCTTAGTTTCTGTTTTTCATAGGAACTAAAGAGAAGGTATCATCTTATCTACCACTCTAAACGTCTCTCTAATTGGTGCTGGTTTTGCTAAAGCCAAGTTGCTTACTTGTTAACCTCTGGCGTTGTTGTGTTCCCTTAACACAGTAATGAGATTTCATCTAGTCCCTTAACACAGCCAGCTGAATCATTGCATCGACTCAACATTGATATGGATATGATACTACCTACTGTACTTAAACCATGAGGACAGTAATGGTTAACAAGATAACATCAATACCCACAACCCAAATTGACCATAGCTGACGACCTGGTTTGTCCACGAAAACACCCAGAAGACCAAACCCAGACCACATACATATATGGGTAACCAAAATACCAAACTCAGACCACACATATATGAGCAAATCAAAGCAGTAAGAGTAGCCAGAGACAACCAATCTTGGGGCTGAAACAGAGACAATGAAAGAAGGAAACCGAAGAAACATACCTGTAATTGATGCAGATTTTCGACCAACAACTTCTTCTCCAAGGTCCTGGTGGCGACGAGGTATCGTGAAGGGATTCTCCAACCGCGCCGCCGACGAGGAAGCACAACAACTAGGCTGGACGCCCGGATGGAAGTCGCCGAGAATCGGTGGAGATTTTAGGCTGTAGGTTTCCCTTTCAGTCGATGAGAAGAATGGAGAAGAGGTATAGTGAAGCGGTGAAGGGATTCTCCAACCGCGCCGCCGACGAGGAAGCGCGACGATTGGGCTGGACGCCCGGATGAAAGTCGTCGAGAATCGATTGAGATTTTAGGGTGTAGGTTTTCTTTCAGGGCGAGAAGAATGAAGAAGGAGAAGACCCGTCCCGATTAATTTCTAGTTTCTACGGGTCTGTTTTCCGGGTCACAGGGTCAGGTGGGTTTTTTAGGGTCTGAGTGTAGTTTGACCCGTCCCGAACTTGTCCCTCTGTGCAAATTGACCCGGCCCGACCCTTTGGAACGGGACGGGACGGGTCGCCGGGTTTAAAGGGGCAGAATTTCAGCCCTACTGGTGACTAGGAGAACAGGCACATAATTTGTCAAATTATGATTTTATCTCAAGAGTGTTGTACAGGGTTCACATCACCATGCTACCTTTGGATCTGCCTCTTTTGCCATTCCACAAGCTACAATAACCTACATTGCTTCAGATACAAATACCTTGCAAGAAGCTGTACTCATATAGCACTTGTGGGATCGAAAATTGGGTATTGGTGGCCGAAGCTACGTTGACTGGCAATGGCTGATACATACAAGGGATTCATGGACCGCCTATCAGCTCTTATCTAGGATGGGCTGTGAAGCACATCTCTCCAGGGTTGCCTCGTAGCTTGAAGTTTTGCGGAGAGAGCGATATTGCAGTCTGACATTTTCTCCGCTGTCAATGATCTTAAGCAAGTACCTGTAGTGCAGAAAGCAAATAGACAAACATGATATATCAGAGACAATGCTCTAACTGGCAATGAGTTGTTTTTATACAGAAACGAACCAGCCATTGAGACACTGTGACGTGATGATTGCTTCCTTGCCTACAAACTTCTCTGGTGTTCTGCGGTTTCCCTGTACAGTAAAGTGTCCTTGAGATTTCCACAACAATGCAACAAACTATAACTGTCAAGAGAAGGTGGCAAAGGGGAAAACATAAGAACATACCTTAATCACTACTTTTTCATTTACTGCAAAAGGGTACTGCACCCTCCGATGCAAACAACCGTGTTCGGCAGCAACATCTCCATTTTCCTGGAGAGGACACCAAGAGTAAGTAGTTGTGTCACAAAAGAAATAGAATGTGGACTTCATGTTGAGAAAGAAAGGATGACCAAACATCCAGACTAAGAATTTATCAACTTTTTTCCATGGTAACCAGTAAAGTGTAACAACAAAATTAGCATTGGATTTATTGGCTATCTGCTCCCAGAAATTATCATGTTGCCATGGCAAGAAAAGAGTCACGTTCAGCAGAATGTTCAAAATGCTTTTTCAACCGAGGGAGCCCCTGCTCCTGATCACCACTTCCAGTACCTCCAAATACATATAGCTTAGGAGATGGCAATCCTTGACAACAACAACAAGGAGCAAATAGAATCTTGACTTTTACCAAACATTACAAATGTGCATTTTGCTATTGGTAGGTAGAATCATTTTTTAGTCAGAACTCTTCAGTGACCTTGATTAAATATTAAGAAACATTTCTTTTGGGTTCCTTCAAAACTTGGCAACTAGTACAAGGTAAAGCAACCACCGAGGGGGCACTCATCAGACTTCTTTTTTCACTTTTTTTATGCATCTCATCAGAGCTTTCGCATGTGTTAACACAAGGACTCCCTGATGGAGCACAGTGTCGAAGTCAAAGTTTACGACAAATGGCTATTTTGCATAATACCATGTTTTGTCTTCTAATAGGATCTGTTTGGTCACCCATGTCCTTGCGACGCTTTCTGAGAGCCGCATTGTGGAATAGCCTCCGGTCATCCTCAAGCTTGACAGCTGAAGCTGCAGCTCTAAGAGCTACACAGTTCATAATAAATGCTATGAGAACGGCACATAATTAGAAGACAATATGTGTTATGCAAAATTGACAGATACTAATGGAAGTGGTAATATGAATCAGTTAACAGATAAACCAGGTGGTGCAGAAATTACCCAGATTAGGAATCAAAGACCCAGCCTCAATTTGTACATTGCACAGTATACATCTTGACTGTAAGGAAGAGTAATTTGAGTTATAATGTTTCTCTTTACATCTAAGTCACAACAACAAAAGTGTGACATGCTTCTTTATGCTTGTAACATGATCCTTTTGATCAGTGGTTGATTCAGTGATAACGCCACTGCGATTAATTTCTTTTACTGTCATGTAAGAGAAGTCATGGAAACCTTACCAATTCGAGGACTCTACTAAGCATAAGACCGCCAAACGAATGTCCACAAGAGGCATACATCGCATCTTCAAGGAAGGCACCACTGAAATATCAAAATGCATTAGTACTGCAGAAAATTCCTGATACATAGGGCGGAGCTAATAATGAAAGAAGAATCAAATAAATATTCAACTCAAAGGTCCTTTCTGTGAACACTGAATAGAAAATGTGAACAAACTCCACAGGTAGAACTATAACAACAGCAACTTCCTCCTTATCTCTATCTTAAATATAAACAGCGGTGACTTTTTATGAACCACCAGCCAACAATCGTTTATATAAAGTCCGGTTGATTTGGTAATACAGTGTACCACATGCCACTAGTTTGTGTAGATACGTTTCTCATCATTGTAAAGCTAAACAGTCAATGTTGCTCTAAAGTTGCAGTCCAGGGAAATTTTGCACCAGAGATTGTCAGTCAAGTTTCGCAATCTTCAATCAAGATGAATGAGAGCAGATGCTAAAAGGGAACTTACGATAGCGGATCTGAGAGAACACTTCTTAATGATGGGTCCTTGTTAAAACTATTTAGAACTTCCTGTAAGTGCAAAAATCAACGTCTCAGTAATCACATGAATTATTCAAAGTAGATTTCCTTATTCAATAATTGAATGCGGGTCCTGAAGTTAAGAACAAAAAACGAAAGCCAATATCCTCAAGAACAAGCATAATGGAAGTTAAGTAATTCTAGCCAAAAAATAGTTCAGTAATAGCTCCATATTCCTACATATGGTTTCATGAAGGTTTGTCTACTTTCACTCGTATGTTCTAACAGTATCATGTGGATTCATTTACATGTTAAGCTTACATTTGCATTCTCAGGTCGATCACAGATAACAACCTCCTCAGCAGAAAGGTCATCCATAAATTGGCTAACAGATATAGGCACATAGCTCTGAGGAATGACATGGCCTGCTGCTGCGATAGGAGAACAATCTAATATCGCATTGCCTTGAGGCATAAGCCTAAATAACAATGCTGTCCTGCTGACACCAAACTAAATCAGTCTCAAGCTGAAACTTTTGCAATGCATGTGTATAATTTCTTATGGTGTGATTCACATTTAAGTTCCTAGTACTTTTACCTTCCACTGCCATTCATGCCAGAGGAGTGATCAGAAGTAGCTCTATATGAAGCAGCAGGGCGAAGGCCAGCTGTGGCATGGCTAAGTGCCTTGCCAGTAATCAGCAAAAGATCACCTGGAGCAAAACCACGATCAGCTAGGTACCAGCGGCCATTAGGGTCACAAACCTAAGAGGCAAAACAAAATTTAAGGCAACAAAACAAGTTGAAGTTAACGGTTTTAAAAATAAAGACCACGTCATTATAGTAAAGTCCAAGGGATTGCAGAAGAATATAGAAGCATTATATTGTACAAGCATCTAATGACTCAACATGAAAGACCTTTATTCATCAATCATATAATTGGTAAGAAGATATAAAGTCACCTGAAGGCCTGGACTGTCAGAAGAAATCAATGTCAACAAGCCCTTTTCAACTTCATAGTTGATTGATGCTTTTGCTCCCCCACTAGCCACTTTGCCATCTAGCAAGGATGCGTGAGAATAAGAGGCAACCAGCACAGATGAGGAAACCTCATTCACGGGCAAAGGGGTGTCGTCCAGTAAATGGTTGAAGGCACTGCATGCAAGAGGTTGACCCTTCAGGAAGCTGCACATGAGCTGAAAAGAGAAGCCACAAGCAAAAGATTTTTGAAAGAGAACTGTAATTAATGCATGCTTACTCGCTTCTCAACCGAAGATGCCTTGCTATAACACATAAAGCAGCCCTAGCTACCCTTCCCATACACCTAAATATTTCTGCCATGCAAGGTGGAGCTGAATCCCAATCATCATGAGACCTGCAACAAGACAACTTAAAGAACTTGATAATTGGAAGAATGCTAATATGTAGGCACACCAACAGCTGCCTAAAAGTTTCCCCCTATTTTTTGAAATTCCATTTTGCTGCTAAAATGCTGTTTTTATGCCAACAATTAAAGCACATGAATGCACCCTTCTTTTTCATGTATTGTATTCCCATTTAAAAAGATCTCGAATGGGCACTATCAACCACCATTCCATAACAATCGAAACAGTTGGGCAGAGAAGCTAGAACCACCAAAGCTGTCAACTTTATAATTCATGGAACCCAAAGCTCAGAGAAATGGCTGAAGCCTGATGCGCTTCATGTTTAAAATATTCTACCCTGTTGTAGCCTAAATAGTGTTGCAAGCAACTCTTACAGACGCTAGATTGTCCTTCAACAAGTAGAAAGGAGTACCAAAAGCTTTCTGAGTGGCAAGGGATGCCCCAAAGGCCACATGACACCATAACTTACAGGGCACTGAGCCACAAATAGTGACCTTAAACAGATGGACCAAGGACAAAACGCAAAAAAGTCAAGTTTTTGTTCAGGGAATAATTGCATCATGAACCCTTTCCTAGTTTGCCAGTAATACACAGGTATTTCCTCAAAAAGAAAAAGGAAAATGTTTGTCAGTCATACCCTTCATATGGAAAGTGGAAGTCATCTAAAGAAAGCCTCTCCACATTCATGACTCTCATACACTCCTCCTTTTCAAATAACAAATTCTTGCAGGAAAAAAGGAAGAAAGACACTCATCCAAGATTCTCACTAAACCAAAGTCATTGTATGGAGTTAAAACCAGTAATCAATCGCCTAGCATAACCAACCAAGTGACGAAAATCAAACTAATCATCAAAACAGTTGACGAAGTTATGCATCTATTCTCAATGTCAAAAGCACAAAATCTGACAGTCCAGTATACAATCAAGAAAGCTAAACTCAGCAAGTAGAGAGCCTCAACTCATCCATGGACATTTACAAGGCCTAAAATAAAATGGAAACTTACTTGGCTCTGTACATGTGAACTCCACGACCGCTGCTTCCTTTGACATGGCACCTAAAATACAAGCGGGATGCTTCCAGCCCGCATTTCATCAGGGCAGCGTTCTCACTCCCCAACTCGATAACAGCAGCGTTATGCCTCATCAAAGAACCCGACAACGCCTCCACAGCCTTCACGTATGGCCCACAGGGAGCCCCATCATAGGGCGCTATATCCGACAGCCTGACCCTAGCCAACATCAGAGCCGTCTCGCATGACTGGTGCGCCGCCGTCGCGGGCGGCGAGATTGCATGATCGAGGGAGGACTGTGGAGGCTGTTGGCCAATGCGAGAAGCAGATAGAGGGGCGACGGTGAGAGAAGATTGGGAAGGGGTTGGCGTGGAGGATCTAATAGCGGAAGAGGAATTCGGCTGCTGCTGCTGCTGCTGCATGATCATCGCGGTGGTAATTTATCATGCTGCTGCACTTCTCGAGCGATTCAGAGTGGAGAAGGAGAGCAGAGTATTAGGGTTTTCTGGACGGAAATTCCATTCCCTGGGGAACGATAATGTGGAGTTGTTGGCAGTTGGCTTGCTGTTTTGGTGCCGTGTTCCAATTTGAGAGGGCAAAAAGCTTCTTTCAGCTGGAGATTACTTCCGGGGTGAGGGAACTACAAAACCCCTTTTCAGGAATTGATGCCGGCGAATATTGAGGAAATATTCCTCGGTGAGGATGAGGATTCAAGGAGTTTCGCAACGGCGACGGAGGTGATGGGAGATGGTGCTGATGACTGATGACTGGCTAGCAGCAGCAACCGAGTGAGGGAGAGTGGCTAAATATGACTTGTTCCAATAATTCGAGTGACCAAAATTGAAAATAGTTAATTTCTTGGGTTAATACCTTATTTTGGCTCGAACTATGACCATATAATCAACTTTGGCCCGTGGTTTCAGAAATTAACATCCTAACCTCAACTATGTAGCATAAAGACTCAATTGGCCCGGCACACGGTTTGACCGTCAATTTGGACGGTCAACACAGTTGACCTTTAGTCGACACACCATGTTATTGCCTTGTCGGCCTAAAAATCATTAAAAATTTCAAATTATTTATCTAATTTCTATTATTTATCATTTTCAAATTAACCAAAAAAAATTAAAAATTTTGATAATTTTTGGTTAATTTATAAAATGTATCATTTTCAAATTACCCAAAAAATAAAAAATATAAATATTTTTAATTTTTATAATTTTAGTTTTTGGTTAATTTGGTAATGATAAATAATAGAAATTAAGAAAATAATTTGAATTTGATTTTTTAAATGATTTTTAGGCTGACAAGTCAATGACATGACGTGTTGGCCGTCCAAATTAACGGTCAAACCATGTGTCGGGCCAATTGAGTCTATATATTGCATAGTTGAGGCCATGATGTTAATTTCTAAAACTACGGGCCAAAGTTGATTATATGGTCATAATTGAGGCCAAAATAAGGTATTAACCCTAATTTCTTTTGATAACTTTTGTAATAAAACGGTGATTGTACAAAATTTTAGCCCAAAAAATGTGTTTATTAATACTTATGAAAGTTTTATCTAAAAATGATTGGTTCAATTACACGTTTGGTCACTCAAATTATTTGAATATTTCACGTTTGCCACCCGAATCACTTTTCTTTCTTATTCGCCACTAACTTTATGAATCGTTTTACCGTTAGTCACCGACCGTCTAACTCTGTTAAAATCATCCTATGTGGCAGTCAATTAAGCCCATTGACTGTTAGTTTGATGATGTGGCAATTAAAAAATAATAAATTAATATGAATTAATTTTTCAATTTAAAAATACTTTCTCTTCCTTCCCTTTCCATCACCGTTAGAGTGTATCTTCTCCGTCCATCACCACTAGACATTATTTGATTTATTTCACAGCACAAATTCCCGACGTGCTAGCGGAATCCAAAGAGTCCCCGCCGGAGAAATCCATTCCCGAAACTCTTCCTGTTCTCCACTCATCATTTCTTCTCTTCCGATCCTATTGCCACCGATCGTATCTCCTCCACCTTCGATATTTCTTCTCTCACGCGCTTACCGCCTTCTCTGATCCCGCCATTTGATTGGACTCCGAGCTTCCAGCAATCTGAATATGACCAGGGAAGGAGAAATTGAGCTTGGCTCGCGGCCCCCTTAACTCGATCGCCTCTCTATCGTAAGCTCGTGTCGCGTCCTCTGCGGTGTCAAATGTCCCCAGCCACTCCCTTGTAGCCCGCCGCAGTTACTCAAACCTGGCGGATAGGAGCTGCTCCGAAACCGGCACCGGCGCTGCTAAATTGAATGGGAATCGGAGCAATTCGTGAGCACAAGCTGAATTGGTGGTGCCGGAGACCACGTTGCTAAGTGCGACGACCATGACGGCGAGCTCTTCCTCCTGGGTGAGGCGAGACGGGGGAGGCGGTTGTGACTGAGAAGTAGTTCGCCGGTGTCGAATAGTTGGCTCTCGGCCCGAGAGAACCCATTCATGAAATTACGAACACTCTAAACCTTCTCGGAGCATATGACCTCATAATCATCCATGAAGAACTCAATCAACACCTCACACAAGATCCTCAATTCCTCTACCGCACTTTCCCCATTTATGGCGTTCTGCTCCCACGCCACAATCCGAATCTTGGATCTGTTTCTGATATCCAGCCACATCTCGTCGCAGTAAGCACCGATGCATCTGGCCACTCTCAATTTCGTCAATTTCGCGTAGCAGATCTGCGAGTCCGCGGAGGGGGAGAGGGAAGGAAGAGAGAGTATTTTTAAATTGAAAATAATAAATATGTATTTATTATTTTTAATTTCATCAAACTAACTGTCAAAGAGTTTAGTTGACTGCCACGTAGGATGATTTTAACGGAGTTGGACGGCCAATGACTAACGGTGAAACGATTCTTAAAGTTAGTGGCGAATAAGAAAGAAAAGTGATTCGGGTGGCAAACGTGAAAGATTTGTATAATTTGAGTAACCAAATGTGTAATTTAGCCAAAAATGGTTGTATAGAAGTGTTTATGGGAGAAGCCAAAATTAAACTTTTCATGCGGATAGAGCCACTCAATTATAAGAATTTATTTGTAATTTTACAAACAACAATAATAAGCAATAACATCCCTAATGTATTGAAAAAATGTTATATGATATGAACGTGGAAAAAAGTAATAGGAAATAAATACTTGGGTCACCAATCCAACATTCTAATTGATTTTCAGCCCATAGAAGAATGGGCCAATACTTGTGCCACCAGATTGAATGACCAGAGAAGTGGGACCAAGGCCGAATCGTGTACCCGTCATTCATGTAACAACAATCGATCGACTTCCTTCTGACTTCTAATCTTATCTTAGATTCTCAATAGTTCTACTTTATCTTCCCCGGGTTCTCCAGCGATTCCTTCTAATCCTATCTCTTCATTCTCACCAATCTGAGAATCCATAGCAAAAAAAAAAATTACAAACTTGAGCTTCCTTTTGGCTACTTAACCCCTTTGCTGCAAATTGCATAAAACAACACCCATACCAACCTTTGCCTTTAGCTCCTAGTTCGATCCCCTCTGTGATTCAAGGTAGTCGTACAACCAGCAAATTGAACATTCACAAATTTCATATTCCTGTAATTTCATATTATTTTGGGAATGATTGTTTTTCTTTTGTCGTGTTGCCCGTAATTTTGCTTCTAGGTAATTGTTGAAAACAGAATCCAACCATTCCCATCACTTTATTCCTTGACCAGGATACTAAGATTTATTTATGAAAGTACTTACCATACAAAAAGTTGAGAGGTTGGTTGTGTATGGTGAACTAGGGGTGGGCAACGGGAAACGAGTATTTGGGTATACCTGTCCCGTTTTTTGAGGGTTACGAGTACCAAAATACCCGTAAATTTTTTTACAGGATGGGACTTGGGATCAAGAATCACTACTTCGGGTACCCGCGGGTTACCCGTTAATACCCGTTTGGGTATTATGGGTACCCGTTATACCCATTAATCCATGCCAATCTACTAAACAAGGATGAAGTGTTGAGGTTGTGGGGCATTGCTAAAGCCAAGTTCACCAAACGGCATAATAGGGACTAATAATGGGCTCTTTGGTGAAACTGGGGGAGATTGAAGAAGCTGAGAATTTGCTGGAGGAATAATGGGGAGTGCAAAATCAAATAATCTAACCAGAATATATATATGGGCATGTTTGGGTTGGGGTTGGGGTTTGCATTACATGGTGACAAAGGTACACAACAGGGAGAAATTTTGCAAGGCCAGCAGAGCAACAGTAGGCCACCTCAATTTCATTTCCCTCTTCTCCAAAGTTCACTTGAACGTATGTTGTTAGGTCTAGTGGACGGGCATTTATGGGTACCCGTTTTCCGTCCCGTGCGGGTAATGGGTATCAAAAGAACATATACATGGAGCTATGCCGACTTATGTATGTCTTGTTGACACCAAACGATTAGGTATACCATGCCACGTCCCTTCTTTTCATAGAGGAGAGAGAAAAAAGCGTACCCGCTTACCCGTAAAGGTTTGGGACATAGGATGGAGATTGCTCTCCAAATAGGATCGGGTACCCGTTTCAAACGAGACGGGTATCCCGTCCCGTCCCGTTGCCCACCCCTATGGTGAACTTCACCAACTAAATTTGTGATTGTACATATCACAAATTTATGTTATTATGGTGTAAGCACATTTTCAATGAAGATTGTGGTGGCTAGATGAGAGGGTACGACAAATGATGCTAGAATTCTTAGTGAAACAGTTTCAAATCCATATAATAACAAGTTCCCGATGCTATCATGAGGTACTTATGATTTTTTGTACATAAATAAATCCATAACACATTTACGGTTCCAAATAAATAGTTTCATATCGAGATATACTAATTGTTTTGCTATATATAATGCATGTAAGTATTATTTTCTTGACATAGGATTTGCGAACATGCCTGGGTTCCTAGCCCCATACCGAACACAGGAGTCTGCTCATTTTCAAGAAATTAATCAAGACGGTGGAACCAAAACTCGAAATCAACTATTCAACTATTATCATTCATCCCTACGCAATGTCATTGAACGTTGCTTCGGAATTCGGAGTTTTGAAGGTCAGGTTCCCAATTCTGAAACATATGCCTTCTTTTTCACTAAGGAAACAAACATGAATTGTTATTGTTGCATGTGTTCTACATAACTTCATTAGGATTCACTCTGGTGAAGATGTCCTATTTGAAGACTATCAGAATTATTATGTGGAGGAGGACGTTAATGGAGTGCAATGAGGACTAGAAAGAGAAGAGTACAATATGAGTTCAAGTCGAACACGACAAATGGATATTCAACGAGAGGGAATAGCAGACAAGTTGTGGGATGACTTTCAAGCTGGACTCCTTTGACATTTGTGATTGTACTTCTACTTATATGATATTGAAGACTTACACCTCTCGCCTTTGGGCGAGGCTCGAAGACTCACGCCTCCTACCTCCGGGGGAGAATTCAGTGAGACACAAGAGTGTCTTGAGTTAAAACTCTCAAATCGTGGATTCACCCTCTCTAGCACATAGCTAACACCTAATAGTCTACAAACAACTTATGCTTATACATGCACACAAGCTCACGCCCATCTCACGGTCCAACAACTTAATGCATAAAGCTCATAGTTACAACCTATTAGCGCTAGCAACAATGGAAAAGCGAAGAAAACTTAACGACTTGAGCTCTTTAACTCAAAACATCAAAAGCTAAGCAAAGTGCAAAGACACATCGTCCAGCCTCACGATTAAGGC